ATCTGAAAATATATAGACTTTAAATAAAGCAAGAAGATTTGAAATATCACTCTTTACAATTACAAATGGGGATGTAACAATAAGGATGCATTTGGTCCTGATTCAGTCCTGATGTAGACTTGGTTTGGTCCCTTTCAAATCGTGGTTTAGTCTAGGTTTAAGTTTCACTTTGTTCCCAGTGTGAAGTTTGTAAGCTTGAATGCACTTAAGATGCAATGTCATGAGAAATTAATATCAAAATGATTGTATATTACATATAGACGGTTGCACACTCACATGCATACCAAAGTCTAAATGAATAGTTTGTTCTTGGTTAACAAAGGAAAGAAAACAACATATTCATAGGTTACAGACTGAAGAAAATTTTGCACCCTTGCCATAGCAATTTAGCCTGATTCATCAGGCAGTTTCACTTCGTGGAAACCGTCTGACCTCGCAGCATTAGGATTTCGCTGGGTGGTAGTTTTTACTTTTTTTACTTTTTGGTTGGTTGTGATGTATGTAATGAGCCAAATCCTGCTGGAAGAAGGGCAATAACGTCTTTCTCCTTGATAAAATTCCCCAAACATTCTCTTTGTTCCGGCTTTAAATCATTGATCTCAGGAATTGTTGCTAACACAGAATGTATGGCTTTGTCTACATCCATCTCGACCGCTTTGTTTACTGTTGTGCTGTACCACAATAGGAACCCAGACAGGTTCACAGTTCTTCTCTGATTGTCTGGTGCGTGGTCTACAACTTCCGGAGTTCTTGCAAACCGTCTAGTGTATTCTGATTCCTGACCTAGTCGCTGAAGAGAAATTAAATTTAGCAGAGGCGCTAGGTGGCACCAGCCTGGCTAATAGCAATTAACAATTCAAAACAAAATATTATATGGTATGTAAGGGGTGAAGTCTTCAAAATATAACCTATCAACAGGAAGATGAAACCAGTGAATAGGCTAGAGATCATGGCCTCACTTAACATTTAACAGTCTCCTCAACATGAAAGTCTTACAAATACATGTATAGTGAAATAGTACATTTCTATTTTCTGCATATCTTTCAAACCACAGTTTCATTATTTTGTTGTATATTTATCCCCCACCTGTAGATTGACCTCCCCTTGTTCCAGTGAGAGTGGTGCATGTGCCTGTCACTTGATATTGCGCACTGGGGCGATTTGGAGATGGGACGTAGTATTTCAAAGACAAGCACACCGGCTCTGCGCACTTTGTTGTGGTAATGTGAAGCAGCTGAGAAAGCAGGCTCTGTCCGGACAGCGCTCCTCGTGGGGGTTCATGTGTCCGGAAGTGTGCCGAGAGCTGCAGTTACTCCGAATGAAAACAGGGAAAGTGAAGTCTACTTTGTCCATTTGAATTATGGCCTTATCAAAAACTAACCCTAAGCTCATATATTTGTCCACTGGTTTTATTCTATCCGTGTATTTAACCTTATCAATGTAAGTTGTATTTCTAGTAGTTGTACCCAAACTTTTTACAGACTTATTGATAATTTACAGCTAGAGTTCTCAACATTCCCTGGGGTTGTTAAGCTAACCATAAGCACTACTCTGTCTGAGACTTGTTAGACTTTAATGTGAGCTTTATTTTATTACGGTCACAAGCTAGTTCACATTATCCACTCTCACCTTTTTTGTTGATAATCAAATTCTGAATGCTCATATTGATCACAAGCTTCTGAATAGGTGTTTGAGAACAACCTTAAAAGTTTAGATTTCAGTGTTTACACAATGTGTGTATTGGGCCACCGTGGTAACACCATAGAGCTGCATGTAGAACACCCTCAGCGTGATTGTCACTCCAGAGTATCAATAGCCTTAAGACATCTGGTTTACCACAAGTTCCAACACACTTTTAAATTGTCTATTGCATAAGACACATCAAAATGTCAGTCAACTATTTCACACCTATTTTTGATTTCTTGGCAAAATTTCAGAGGCAGTATAGGTGTGATCTTCCAAAAGTGAATTTTACCGTGAGACATACTTGCACTTTAATATATTGCATTCCCCAGTATGTGCTTTCTTATCCTGTGCATAAACCTCTGCCTCTAGAACAAAGCTCCTATTATGTGGTGTTGTCTCCTGCTTTATAATACAAACACAGTACTATCTGATGGGCATCCCCTCACTCACTCCAGCGCTGTTCCTCCCAGAGCAGACGGGCCCTCATCCAAACATCCAAACATCTCGTTCTTTGTGCACTAGACCGTACACAGGGTTTCCATATTGGAGCTTCTACTGTACGTGTGTGGGCTGCTCCTCTGCCAACATCAGCTTGTGGAGGCGACCATCAGGAAACTTAAGTCAGACAGATTTTAATGTGCTGCAATTAAAACAGCAGTCATTTTACACACCTGCATCTCTAAACCAAATACATACGCAGCAAAAGCAACTATCAGAGTTATCCAAGGAAACTTAATTCGTAACTACATATTCTATTGACTTATAAAATAGTTTTGTTGTATATTTTATAGTTGCTAAGTAATTCAATGATCTTTACACAGTTCTGATATGAATCTCCTTTATTTACTGTATAAGAAAGTTCTGGCTCAGTATAACTTAACACATGTAGTACTTGCCTTAGCTACTGACTTTTCAGTACTTTAGGTGTATTTAAGTCATAATTAAAACCAATTCTTAAATCTAGAGTATGGAAGTTTATGTGTAAATTTCTGACTTATATTTTGCTGACTTGCTGACAATCTTTAAGAATGGCCTCAGCAGCACCCCTAGTGGAAATGAGCAGAAGAGGATTGGAAAACTAAATGAAGTCACTTTAACACCTGCCCATGAAAATAATACATGTCTATAGGGAGAGGTTTTATGAGACTATAAACAGCAGTGAGTGAATTTGACCCATTTTTCATTTTGAACCAGTAATTAAACATTGAGACAGATCAGGAAGTTGCTGGTGTGATTACAGTGTGCAGATCAGTGGCCCTGCAGGCTGCTCCTTTGCCCCTCTCTTGCCCTCCCTTTCCCAGCATTCCACAGTGAGGTCACGGGACACACCTGCTGTGGGTCTTCAAAGCCCCAGGTGAGCTCCGACAGGACGTCCCAGGAGGTGTGGCTGCTAAAATACTACGTTCTGCTCCATGGTGGATTTGTGGCTTATTCACCAAGATGTGGTGTGCTGTTGGCAAAGGAAATGTAGTCAGCATTTTACTGCAACTGTAAGCAATATACTGTAGGGGGAGGATTTAATGACCAGGTGCACAGATATGGATCTGATCACTAAAAAAGTTAACAATAGAACGTCATTGATCTATTTGGAGAAATGCACTTAATGGGTCCTATATGGGCTTTTGTGGGCTTCTTAAATGACCCTAACTGTGTTTGTGGGCCTTCTTGTGTTTGCCCACTCACAGCCCCTGCCAATGCAAAGCCCAGACATAACCCATATGGAGCCCACAATCTTGGCTGGCTAGTCAGTGTTCCTTATTATTGTTGTGTGCTCCTTTTAGAAAAACAGAGTAACATCTGAAAATGTGATTTTGTTTTTTCTCTAAACAAATGTGAAAGTAAAAGGAGACAGGGCCTCTATAGTGACCCTGGACACTTGTGATGCTGTTTGGCAAATGGCAGAAGAATGTGATGTGGGACTTTTTTATGGCTGGATCTGAAGTGCTTGTCACCATTTGTAAAAGCCCCCCTCATCTCTTTTCAGTCTAAAGTATTGACTGTATAATGTTGATCCAACTTTTTCACTGCAAAAAGGGAAAGTATAATTTCAAATTATGCAAGAATATTAACCTCCTTATATGAAGCTATGAATAAACTTCATAATTTAGACAATTTAATTGAACTAGTGATAAAATAAATATAAATAGTCATAACATAAATACATTACATTTTATATACCACGACCCATGCTGTATTTGTTTAAGGATATCAAAGATCCACTTATTGAAACCAAGATACTAAACTCAAAGTGGGTATTCATTGTGCACATTCTGGCATTTGACTAGGGCTAAAATTGAACCTCTATAACCAAACTTATTGTTTCTGTCCCCGGCTCCTCGAGTCCAGAGCTCCACATCAGGCACATCATTCAGGAGGAAGTGAGCTACAGCGGATTAACCACAGCCTGGTATTATTGTTCCTATGTCTCTCGTCTCCTCTGTGTGTTCACTAATCACAGCTCAGATCGGTCAGCAGCAGGACACACAGAGCTCCCAAATGTATTGTGTTTTTGGAACTATTACGTTCAATATGGACTGGAGATTTCAGGGTCATATTTGGACTTTTTGGAAGACAAGGTGAATGAGGCGTGTTTTTAGAGGGATTTCATCTGGACTTGATTGGATTAGGTGAGTTTCTTTCTGTTTAATGCTTGCAGGTTTAAATGTATTAGTTTGCCTTATCAAAGGAGGAAACAAACATCTATTGTACTGCAGAATCAACTGCCTCGTAGGATTCAATGTCTTATTTATCCAGGTATCGGACTAGCAAAATGACATCCCGTGCTTACTATCATTATAAGGCTATTCAGATTTTTCTCCTGCTTTTTAAATTTTTATTTTTTTGTAATTTTTAAATTCTATTACTACTACTACTAGTACTTTGACTTTTACATTATTGTAGTACATTCCACTATCCTCCATATTGTGGGTTAAGCGGTCAGGTCACTCTTGGTTGCGCGGTTCGGATTAGTACGTCTACGCGCTCTTCCTGTATTGGGCCATATAAACAGATTAATGGTAGTCTTGGTTGGGATGGGGTCTGGCCGGACCATCTGTAACTGCCTGAGGGGGGCCTGAGGGGGGAGGTCGTGGTGGGCGGGGGATACAGTAGGACAGGGGACAAACATACAAACATGGGATGAGACCAGAGGGGAGGGGGCGGGAGAGAGTGGGCAGATGTTTGAGCAGGGTTGTGTGGGTCAGTGTGACAGTAAAGCCATTGAGGACATGTTGGAGGCACGCACAGGCTTTGAGCTGTGCTGACAGGGAGCTGCTAATGCTAAGGCTAAGGATAGGAGGTACGAGTGTGTTGACATGGCGCTGGCATGCTGTCTTATACTCTCCTCCCAAGGTAAAGTTACTCTTAAACTGACGATAATGGATTTAAACTGTAACCCTTATGCTATGTATGGAAAACTGCATGAATGCCTAATATAAGGAACACATGTGTAAGACTAAACCAGGACTAAAACCAGATTGAACCAGGACTAAGTTGAAAATGCTGTAGAGTTCTTTTGTGTGGTCAAAATTTATGCAAAAATTTCAATACAAGTTATGGCGCTGCTTTACAATCATTTTACCACAATTCACTTGCAGTTTGTTGTGCAGCGCTCGCCCCAGATTTTAACTTTTTACTAACTTGCTTTATAACTGGCTACAGCAACCCCAGACAGGCAAGAAATATATTTCCGTAGAGTAGTTATTATAAATCTATACTACATTTTCCTCTTATGTCGTCAATACATTCTTTGCAGCCTTACCAAAGCGTGACCTAATAGCTGACATCTGCAGTTGTGTTTCCCAGGGCGCTGCTAAATTGTAGGTGTGTGCGTGCGTGAGTGTCAGTAGCGGGTGTGAAAAAGGTTTGAATCTGGCTGGCTCCTGTCTGGGCCAAGGTGGAGTAAATTACAAGGCTGAGTGAGGCTGCAGTCTGGAGATGGAGCTTTTATCCCTCTGTTCTCTAGTCTCTGCAGGGGCCTGGTTCTGACTTGTGGCCTGCAGCGTTCCTGGCACTGAAGAGAGGTTTTGGGGGGTTGATCCTGGGGCACATAAGGAGGAAAGATTAATAGTGTGACAAAGAGGAGGTAATAGATATGACACTCATCTGGAGTCTTGATCATGATGATTAGATTTTGGTCAGCTTTTGCTTTTCTAGCAAAGGGCCAGCCACCTGCTTGTCTCTATAGAGATATTATTGCTCTGCCTTGAATGCACCACAGTGTGACAGAAACTTGCATCTTATATTTACTTACTTTACAAGTTTGGAGAAACATGCATTCATATTGTGAGTGGGATCACCTCTCCACAGAGCTGACCTGTAACTTGGATTAGTGGTTGTTTCCATGGAAATATTGTGTGTGCCCTGCCTCTTCATGGAGACATGTCACATGATAAGATTTTGAATAGACTTGGACTATGACTTGCATTGGTTAAGGATACAGTGTCCAGACATGCATTAAAATCAAGGATTTTCTGGGTCAGGAGTAAATGTTTTTAGCCAGGCTGGCACCACCTAGTGCCTCCACTCACTTTCATTTCTCTTCCACGACTAGGTCAGGAATTGGAATACGCTAGATGGTTTGCAAGAACCCTGGAAGTGTGAGTCCTGGCACCAGCCAATCATTGAAGAGCCATACATTCTGTGTTGGCAACAATTCCTGAGATCCCAAGAAGCTGGAACAAAGAGAATGTTTGATGAAGTTTATCAAGGGGAAACGCTTAATATACCGGTTAGCCCCATTAGTGGTGCATTTCATACATTACGACCTGTATAGTAGCGATTGGTTAAATAAAAAATTATCCATCTACCGTTGAGTGAACAAATTCTAATGCTGCAAGGTCAGATGGTTTCTACAAAGTGAAACCGGCTCATGAATCAGGCTAACATGTTTTAGCTACATAAGACAACTTCTATTTCACAGTGATTAAGATTTGAGGAATATAATTTTCTTTTCCTTTTCAAATAAAGTTAATATCTTTTTTTATACCCATCTCTCAAAATTGTAGCCTACAGAATTTCTTAAAATACTTCTGGATCTAAACATATAAAATATATTGTTCTGTCTTTGCTACTACCCTCACAAAATACCAGCTCAAACTTGTAATCTGCTGCTTCTTAACACCGCACCATCATCTTAAAGATCTGTCAGGTGAGAGTGTGAAGAAAAGAGAAAGAGAAAGTTGATGAGAGGCCACTGAACTCGATTGGCGCATGTTTGTTTTTCTTGGCCCCAGACTGTTTGGGGGACAAGCTGACCCCTGCTCTTCTCTTTAAGTGCCTCCACATTTGAAAACCTCACTAAAGACTTGTAATGGACTCCTTAGATTGTCCTCCCATTAAAGACTTGCAGACTTCCACTGGTTAAGTAGGGGGAGCATCATTTTTTAAGTGTAAGTCGGTAGCAGCTGCAGTCGTGTGTTGTTGTTGTTGATGACAGATGGTTTTGTAGTTTGCTCAGGTTGTTGTCACTCAAAAAAGGGGCAGAAGTTCACCTCTCAGCAGGAGGACAGAGGCATAGGGTTAAATCAGGTAAACAAAAGCTTTGAGCATATTTCTAAGTAACTAATTTTACCTTCTCAAAGTTGCATTTATAGTGATTATTGCCTATTTAAATAACCTTAATTCTCCTGCAGTCAAGACACGATTGCTTTGAAAAATACCTGCTTTCACTGACCCCCTATACACACCTACTTCTCTGTACTTTGCTGTCCAATTTCTTTCTTAAATAATGTTACATGCTTTAACCAAAAGCTATTTTGACAAGTAAAAAAATCCACAATTCACTACTTAAGCTGTAGCGGGACCATTAGTATGTTTCTCTGTTGTGATGATGTTTATGGCAATAATGTACCAGAAGAAATAAAGTCAGAAAGTCAGAAATAACCAGATTTGTTTCATTTTAGGTCATTATTGCACTTTAAACTGTGAAAAATATACATTTTTTTTTAAAAATGAGCCACTGGTGTGATAGATATAACTACTTCTTTCACATTAGTGTCAGATCATTTCCTCACAAGAAAAATGTCTTAGTTTGAATCAGGAATGATTGGTGGTGGTCCTGCTTTTAGATGGAGACAGAATCCAGAACATGTCAGAACAGGTCAGCAGGTCAGCGCGAGTGTTGACAGAGGTCTCTGGGTGGTTTCTGGATAAAGTCTGGTCCTTTTTGGTAGAGCTATAGATAACTTTGTCTTCCTGGGGATTTCACGGCACCACGGTACTTAGTGTTTCATGCGTTTAACTAATCCCAAATCCTTTAATGGTAACGAAAGTGTCATTTTCAAATAAAAAGTACTGGTTGTGGATGCTGGAATTAAATAAATGAAGGCAGTAGTATGACCTGAAGCAAACATGGCTGGAGGACAGATAGAAGGACTTTCAGGTCAAGGACAAGTGCAGAGAAGTCCCACTGCACACAGAGGACAGAGAGAGGACAGATGTTTGTGTGTTTAGACAAAGGCTTAGCTGTGTTCCTCAAGATGCCATCCTAAAACATCGTCTGGGACAAGATTATCTTCAACTCTCTGCCCTGTTGTGTTTTCTTATTTGGTCTGTCACTTAAAAATAAGCCCCAAAGAGCGGGTGCAGAATTCACTCCAGTTTTTTGCAATCTCCTGTTTTAGACGTTCTCTGAGATATTGTAAAATATGTTTATAGTTATCCAAAAAATGTGAAAACTTTTACCTTTATCACCCACTTTTAGTTCCAAATCCATTCAAATGAAAAAGTTTGAAGTTGGATGGTTGGTGTGGAACCTATTCAGACATCTGCACCCAGAGGCAGAGATAAGATAATGATTATGCAGATCTACTAAGATATATTGTTTCCACAGGCGTATTGTTTTTTTTGTTTTGTTTTTTTTAATAAACTTACTTCTAGTGTCCTAGTGCTGTCACAATACTCAAATTTTAAACGTGATTTCAATACTAAGGAATAGACTCAATACTCTATACTAATTTCAGTTTCACGGTGATAATAAAATACACTTTTTCTTTAGACAATAGAATGGCATTTTTAACATTAAATTGTAGTGCTTTCTTTTATATTACCATGTGCTCTTATAGCTGTGTCATCCCTCAGTCGTTCAGGGATTCTCCATAGTCTTCTATGGGCGTCTATTTGGTCTCATATTTGTTTGGATACATCTCAAAAATATAATTCTAAAGTTGTTCAGGAAAGGTTCACTTCTGTCCTGTGAATGTGCCTTTTTTTTTTTAGTTCTGATACCTGCTCAAATGAGTAAATAGTTTTGATACCAATATTAGCAATTCCTATGACCTCTTGTATAAAGCTGTTACTTCTGTTACCTGTCTTCCTATTTTATTTTTACTTGTACATATACATTTATATAATTATGTCTTTTTTGACACCTGTCTCTTGCTACTTATTTAGAATGTATTTTACCATTTATATTTTTGCTCTTTGTTATATTATTCTGATGTGTGACCTACTGTGTCCAAATAATGTCCCTTGTGGATCAATAAAGTTTGTCTAAGTTTAAGTCTAAGTCTAAGTCTATCAGTATCAATTTGTAACTGATTTTCTGTATACTTTTGACAACCCTATTCTGTCCTGGTTCAGTTCTGGCTTTGGCATCTGGATTAGCCTCTTTTATGTGTCCTTGTTGCTTCAGACCAAGTTTAGTCCTGGGATAGTCTTGGTACAATTCTAGTTTAATTCAGTTACCTTTAGGGTTCTTGAACATTTGTGAACAACTACCGCAATCTTCTGTTTAATTCAATTTGCACTTATAATTTGCTGCTGGGGAAACTACAATTGGAAATCTAAACATCCTCTTTACAAATTAGATTCCCCTGCTACACACGCGTTTGCCAGACCCCCCACATTAGAGGTTACATTATGGTTAAAGTAAGTGCAGTGTGAAACCTGAGGAGACCTGAGGAGGCCAGCGGGATTAGCCTGGACACTGGTCAGAGTCAGGCTCATGAAAGTCAGGCTCAGGTTACATTAAAGCCTATTGTGGGACCACAGGTAAAAACATTATGAGTCCCCGATATTTTCTCACATTTGCATTTACTGAAATAGCCCACTATCTATAAAATGGCACAAGAAGTAGTAGTATTTGTTAGTAGTGATAGTTGTAGTAGTAGTTGTTATGGTATTGTGGTTGTAGTATTGGTAGGGGAATCCTTCCTAAAAGTGATTCTGAATGTTTTTTGAACAAATTCTGTAGCTTTTTAAGTTTCTTGTGTTGCGCTGCTTTCAAATTATGTTCATGGCAGGCAAGGAAATAATTTATATATCTTCCCAAATCAGCTGTTACAGATGCTATAGGACTTGAGTGTCAAACTCAAATTCACAGAGGGCTGAAATAAAAAACTGGGAAAAGTTGTGGGCCAAACTAAATATTTATTGAAACAGTTTTCTCTTCTTTCGAGATATGTAATGTGTATGTAACCTTTTCTTATTAAAATAAATGTTTAATAATAGTTTCTGCTTAAACATTGAATCCAGAACAAGCATAATATAAAATACACAAAACAAAATTTTAAATAAATAATGTCTCTAAAGCTTATCTAGCCCAGGAGAACAAGAAAAAATATTTAAAATAGGATTTCATAGTAAACTTCTATGAGCAAACTTCCAGACTTCCTTCATGTGACTCCCAGACTTCAAGGAAGTCTGGGAGTCCCTGCTTAGACTGCTGCCCCTGCGACCCGGCCCCAGATAAGCAGAAGAAAATGGATGGATGGAGCAAATGATGATTACATTGATATTACATACTGAAAAAATGTGTATAGAAGTTTGTGTTACTGTGATTAATGTTGGGTATTTTGAGCTCAGAAAGGCATCTGGCATTTCCTCAGGCTGCCCCAGGACAGCTATGGTATTGAATCAGGGTGAACCAGGGTGTGCTATACTATGGTACTTTATACCTGCATGTACTATATATAGGCTCTGTTCCAGCTCCAGTGTTGTGAAATCAATTCCCAGCTCTGACATTTAATACAATGTACTACCTACTGTTTACCCCCATTTTGTTCTGCCCAGTAACATGCCCTAACCTTTTTATCTTTTCTTTTTTTGTCTTGCTTTGACAGCTGTGTCTAACCTGGATGTGGAGAGTAAGCTGACCACACATTTCCAGGCGCCGTGGCATCAGCAGAGAAACGTCTTTCACCCAAACACACGTCCAGAATGTCTCGTGGAGCTGCACAGACAAGCCAACTTCAGCGTATGGGCCCTGCACAGAGGTACCACACACAATCACGTTACACTATGTTTAGTACACTATATTTCCAATTGGGATTTTATACTTTCTGTGTCAATTTTGGATTAAGTTTTTCCCATAGCCAACGTCATTGCAGTGGTGATGTAATTCTGGCCTCTAGTGGCTAGTAACAGTTATTGCAACCTGAATGCCAAATGTGAACTAGCCAAATAATTATAAATGCTGGCTTTGAGAACCTTTCACAGACTAAGAGGGAGGAAAGTATGTTAGTAAATAAGTTTAATTTTGTTTTTCCTAGATCACGAGCAGAGGCGAGCCGACAGCAGAGAGCGCAGAGTCACCATTTCCATCTCAGCGCTGCCCCCGATGCCCCTGTACCCCTCCCCAAACATTACCAAGAAGCACTCCAATTTAACCACGGTGAGAGGACTGCGGATTTGTGGATTTGTGGATATGAAAGTAACCTTTATTTTTTCAGCAGAAGACAATAAAAAAATATCTGTGTATATATGTTTTTGATTACTGTATATAAAAATTTTAAGCAGTGAGTTAATTTACAATTGTCCTTCAAGCAAACACAGAGAAACGTTAAAGATGCATCCACGCAGTTTACTCAAAATGAGGTAAAACTGCAATATTTAATGTGGGCATGAAACAATATATCATCAACAACTGTTTGTGTATATCATGTTTTATATTTTGCATCCACATTTCTGTTATTATGTTATTAAGCATTTAAATCTCCATTCGTGTATGATCTATGTACGGGCACATGTCACTAAATCTATATTATTGTCAAGTGGGATTTTGTTCATTAACATTCCTATTGAAAATTGTGAGCTTTAAGCCATGTTATAATGTTGTTACCTCATCAAAAACATACCCTGAGTTGTGTTTTGTTTCATTCACACATGTCTGAGTAATCCTGGATGATTAGTCTGTCTACATCTCCAAAACATGAAGTGGTAGTTTTCTAGTTAATAGAAAATCTTGGAGAGAAAATTTTTATCTTTTGTTCAGTAGAGATTGGCAATTATAGGTCTGAAATAATTCAAATGATTGTAGACAAGGTGCATGGAGTTTAAAAACGCTGTGGAGCACTTCACTCAGCCTAAATATGCAAGGTTTATGTGTGAATGAAACAAAACACTCCAGGTATGTTTTGACAAAGAAACAACATTATGACATTGACAGAAAATTGTGTAATATGGGCCGTTTAATTCTAAAAAGAGGTGAAAATATATCACGCTTTTACTTATTGATGTGGTGATTTCAGTTTGAATCTAGCCTCCGTGGAACAAAAATGCCAAAACAAGAAATTAAACTGTAGTAAATATATATACTTTTCCACATGAAATTGACTTACCGGTAAATTATTGACATGTGCCGATGTTGTTCCATTTTGTATATGTCATTTATGTTGCCCTGTTTTGTGTAGTTCGAATCCACTCGCTCCTCCTCCCCCACCGAATGTTGCCGCCTGTCTCCCTGGAGCAGAAAGGTATAGCCCCTCCCTCCCCTCTCCTACCGGCCCATCCTGCTGGTCACCTCCGCTGTGTGCTCCTCCTACCCTGGCTTTCACAACTCTATCGTAGCTCTCCATTCAGCATCTCTTTTCAAATGCATGCCTCTGTCCCAGCCTTTATCGGTTTTGGCTGCTTTTTTAGTCTAGGCCAGTTTCAGTGCATTTCCATAGCAGGGTTCATGCAAAGGTCTGCTCTATGTCAAGAATGTTGTGGCTGCATGCAGTGGTTTCAATAATGACAGGCTTCACATTTACAAAACCAGTGCCTACGATTACCCACAATCCCTCTGTGCCCCAGTGGGAAAAAACAAAAACAAAATAAGAGCTCGCATCAAATATGAAAAGGGTGCAAACACATTATTAAACTTATCTTATATTTACAGATAAATATTTGTGAATGTGATAGTTGTAGGAATAGCAGTAGTTGTGGTGAACAAAACAGAAGTCTGGAAGTATTGTTGGTACAAAAGTAAAAAAAAAAAAAAAAAAGATGTAGATAATAGGGATGTAACAATAACCAAAATATTGTGATACTGTATCGTTAAATAATCGTCACAATAATATCATGGACCATCACAATATATCGAATTACAAGTCTCTTTGCTTAAATTAAGAGTTATGGTGCAGCAATAGCTAAAAAAGACAGAGGGAACTACATAGACCATGATCCTTTGCTCCATTTCAGTGTAGACTACAAGAAGAAATAACAGTTCTAAGCACTTTTAAGTCTTATTTCTTTGGATTAAGTCTTGTCAAGGCATTTTAAGAGGAAAAAGTAGCATATTAGCCTCCAGAAAATATTGCAATAAATATCGTACCATGAGATATGTATTGTGAAAATATTGTATCAAGAAATTTAGATATTGTTACATCCCTAAACATGAGTCTCCTCACCATATCATGAGCTTTCCCATGATATTGCAATAAATATCGTACTGTGAAGCTCATACTTTGACGATATTTTATCGTGAGACTACCCCAGTAGATAATATTGTAACCAAATCCGAAGTTATTGGTAATATGCATATTTAGAACCAATTTGTATTATTAGTATTGTTAACAATATATTATATGATTACCATTTATATACAGTAACTACAATATCTACATTAAGTCATAGTCAAAGATCACACTTCTACATATGCTTGAAAAGCATATATAAAAATACTGGCTAAATATTTGTATTTCCTTTGTATTTCTGAAAAAAATATACTGACACAGTGTAACATCTTCATCTTCAGTGTGACCTTACTATTATATGCGTCTGTCTATGATTACCCAAAATTCCTCTGCGCTGTAGTCAAAACGTCCAAAGAGCTCCTACCTTAGCCTAAAGCTGTTGTCACTAAATATGTATTGTGTGTGCAAACAAACACCAGTTCTTCCAAGATCACTCTGTGGTATTTCAACAGCCAATGGTCTCAGTCACTCCTCTCAGACGCTTCTTTTATGCCCCTCAAAAACAGATCAGCTGTGAAATGCCCTCCCTTTGATTTTCTTCCACATGTCCGCCCTGAAGTTACCACGGAAACCGGTTTCTTTTGTGGACCCCCGGGTTTTTGTCCGGGTCTCACTGGCTTGCTGGGAACTGCGAGCACAAAGGCTTGGAGAGCTGGTTTCTAAAATGGGGGTGGGTTAGCTGTCCCTAGAAGGTGGGAACTTAAGATTGAATCGCAGTTTCACATGTGTTCCACTTAACTGTCGGACTCCCGAGGTAAGATCTCCAATGGCTTTAAGGATATTACTTTATTGGATCGTGCACTACAGGGTTGGGGCCAAGCGTCTAAGGAAGCCAATGGAAAAACTTTGAACTACTTTCCAGAGTCGGAATATGTGTGTGGATTGATACTAAAACCAGGAATGTTTTCTGCCAAATATTTCCGGAGCTTGCTTGGTTATTATGTGGGGACTTACACAGACAGGGGTGCCACACATTATTGAGGAGTGAGTCAAGCATTTCCGATCTGACGCGTTGTGACTAGAGACTTCTGTTGTCACATTTCAGCCCCATGCCGCAGTTGAATAAGTCTGTTTTTGTTTTGGTTGGCATCACTAGTAGAGATGTGTAGGAATGAGATCCATTTCTTAAACCTTTTGAATATATTGTGCTTTTTAGTGGGTTTAGTGCATCATGTTGTGTTTCTGCTATTATTTGGAAGTAATGATATAAGCCATGGCCACTCTACACATTGTTTATTTGTTGGATTGTAACTTTAGGAAGGCTTTGAAAATTCTCATTGTTATTATTCCAGATTAGTATTCATTTTCAATATAGCGTGTAATATTTGAAAACATTGAAACTGTTTGTGTCACACAAAACTTAAACATAAATAAGACATGTGTTGTTCTTTTTAGCTACATGCATAACTAGTTTATTGCGTGGCTACCCAAGTACTGCTTTGTATTTCTTGTAGTAATAATTCTCACATATTAGCTTCTCTCTCTACTTTTGTCTAATCTTGGTTTTACTTTTCTGATCTTTCATATTTGCATGTGGTATTGTGCATGTTTCTGTTGTCTTATCCTGAAAAGCATGTTGTTTATTTCCATCAGTAATCGGACTGACAGTGTGGAAACTCAGCTTCTTGTATAGGACATTTGTATTGATTTAACTTTCAACAAAGAATCCACCACAGATTAAAACATCATCGATCTTCTTAAAGCTGAGCTCGCCTCAAGCATCTCCAATTTTCCAGTCTGGCAAAGAGACCAAAATATCTGTCAGTGCTGCATAATGTCAGAAATATATATAAAGACTTAAGTAATTTGAGTGGTGTTTTATAGACTTTGAAACCATATCTATATATTTTTCTGCATATTCTGAAGGAACAAAATAATTTATATAAACAAAAAAGCAATGGACATACTGGTCAAAACCAGGACTATATTAAAACTTCCCAAACACCAGTTTCAAACCAGGTCTAAACTATGTCACCGCACTACTACAAGATTAAAGCTAGCACTAAAACTAATTTGTTAATTAATAAAAATGTACTGTATTTTATATTTACTCTACTCAAAGGTATATTGAGTAACTTTTCAGGGCTGAGGGTCTGTCAAATGCTTTTCTCCATGGAAATGTTATTGCTTTGTCTTGAATGTTTCACAGTATAGTATTAAAACTTTCTATCTTTAGTGTCCAGGTTACATGTCAGATCTGTGGAGAGGCAACCTTACTCACAGTCAGAATGCCTGTTTTTTGAGGCATTTTTGAGCTGTAAATCTACCTGTAATTGAAAAAATGTAAGCTATGACAAGGACATATCCATAGAAACAAGCAGGCGATGGACCCTCAACCAAAAAGTTACATAGTGCACCTTTAATTCCCCTAGCCCTTGTATAAATAATAAAAAGCGAAGTACAACTGTAATATTTTATGCAGCTCTAATCCTGCTTCTTAACACTTCACCCTCTCTGAAGCTGAGTTGACACTGTTAGCGCTTACGACGAGCCTAACACATCCTAACCATAAATATCCATCTGTTCCAGGCCGCGCCCCTTGACCCAGACTCTGACGGGGTTGCCTTGGGTCACCGCTCTAAGTGTCCCATCCCTAACATCCCCACCACATTGGACAAGCAGACTAACTGGACTAGAGCTCTGCCGCTGCCCACCCCAGAGGAGCGCATGAAAACCAACTCTCAAGTCATCAACTCATGCGTCATACCCATTAATGTGACCGGTAAATGCAGCTTCCTCCATCTACTTCACTGCAGTTCATCTAATAGACTGCAAGGATTCCTGCTCATAATTTTAATTAACTTATATGGGAGGTGGTCAAGTGGTAATAGCAAATACAACTGTAAGTATGGTTATAAGAGGTAGTGGGCTAATAGTAAGAAACTCTAACATAATGAAAATTTGTCATTGTGGTCATAACTCCATTTAAAGTAATTGTACGCTAGTAGTAGTAGCAGTGGGAATAGATGTGTAATGTAGGAGTCAATAGTAGATTAGTCAGATTTTTATGTGCCACAGAGATGGGGACTTGCAAGTTGTGACTTGGACTCTAGTCAGACTTGAGTCACTATTTTTAGGATTTCAGACTTGATTTGATAAAATGGACTAAGACTTGGGACTTGCCTTGAACTTGAAGGTCAGTGACTTGGGACTTGACTCGGACTTGAGGCCTGTGACTTGAGAAGACTTGAAAAGTACTTATAAATCTGAATTCTTTCTATTCTGGTCATAAAGATTCACACTAAGATCTCATCAAGACATTTAAAAAGGAAAAATTAACTAAATGAATTTCAACAACTCTTATGTACTCTATAAATACTCAAATATAAATATATGATTTTTAAAGTACAATTTATCTTACATACATACATTTGGTAATTTGGTTTAAAGATTTGAAATCACTTGAAGCTCACAGCAGACGACTTGGACTTGACTTGGCCTTATGGTCCAGTGACTCTAGACTCGACTTGGACTTGTCTGTCTTTGACTTGGGACTTGACTCGGACTTGAGGTCAGAGACTTGAGACTTGCAAAACGACAACTTGGTCCCACCTCTGATGTGCCATAATGCTGGATCTTTTTGACAAGAGACAGTAATAACAGCTCAGTTAAACTTAACACACTTAAATTAACAGAAAACAAGACTCAAACTTTAACTTTTTGTACACTACTGGGTGGTTTGGCTAAAGTAATAAAGCCCGGAAATAGCTGTTCTAACTAAAAAGCACCGACATTGCTCTGTAAAATCACAGAGGATTTGCAAGTCATGCTTTATGCCCTGTTAACCTGCTTTCTCACGCTCCGATGGTCCATCTTCTGCAGGACGAGGCAGGGTGCTGTGACATGAATGCAGATTAGTTGTGTGTCCAAACTCTTGAAAGGGTCTGCCTAACATTATTTATCCTCATTGATTCGAATTAGGGGAGCTGTATGCCAAAGCTAGCTGGGTCAAAGACAGTTTAGGACAAAAAAAATGCACATTGTAAGCGAATCCTTGCAATTGCTATGGTGCCGAAAAGCCTGACCTGGTATCACATGATGGTCATAAAGCATGGAGAGGGAGAGGAAGAGCAGCTAGCAGGGAGAGCTCAAGTAAAGTCCCTTTTAAAACATTTACTAGGTATTAATCTGCTGCTATTAGAAGCACTGCACTTTAAAAGGCACATCTTCGTTTTGCTAATTTCACTCGGCTCCAAATATTTAGCTTAGTTTGACAGTTTTATAATTTTCTCTATTCCAGCCTATTTTTAAACACTATCTAATTTTACACGTCCAAAAAGTGGAGTGAGTCGTTTTTTTTATATGTGAGAGATGTAAAGAAGGAGGAAGGGCTGCAGTTGCCTCCAAACAAAGATTTCTCAGATGTGCCATGTGCGTTGCAGGGGTTGGCTTTGACAGAGATGCTAGTGTGCGCTGCTCCCTGGTTCACTCACAGTCTGTGCTTCAGCGGAGGAGGAAGCTGAGAAGACGAAGAACTGTGGCCGGCATTCCCAGACAGGTGCAGCAAGAGTTAGGTATGTATCCACACAGACATGCTTACAAATTATACCATGGTGCTTTGTTATTAACATTTTTACACAAAACTACCAGGGGAAGTTTCAAGTACTTTGTATGTTTTCTTAACGTTGTCAGTTGTTGTTGTTTGTGCATGTGTTTTAGATAATTATACGCCTGGTTGTAAATTACATCATGTCATGCTACACAATAAACCATTTTGTCAAATGCATTCAGAGAGTCTAACTTTTGAATATGCAGTGTCCTGCTCACACTGTGAGCACAGCTGCAGTTTGCCTACTCATCATAAGAGTGCGTTTGACGCAGGCAGTTATTCAGGGCACCTCTCTAATACACTGTATTTCTTGTACTTCTTGTGCTCTCAGCGTTCTTCTCCTCTGCCGACTCGGACGACTCACCAGGATCTCGGGAGCGAGCAGTGATCGTCCATGCCAGTGCAGATGCCAGCCCCTCCACAGAGGCACTAAACACTCGGGACTCAGGCTGTCAAACCGAAGACTTCCTGGTGTCTGGAGCTCCGTCCTGGAGGCGCATCAGGGCCCAGAGAGGCCAGGCCCTGTCCCTGTCCTACTCCGCTGGGAACATCTCCTCTCTGCGTGACACCACTGATAACATGTTCGCTGGATCTATGACCGCTCACCTACGCACCCGCAGTCTGCCCCGGGACCCCAGCCACCTGCTGGACAACGGGCACCATGACAGTGACGAGGAGCTGTCTCCTTATGAGGGGGAGGACTTCTTATCAGCTGCAGCAGAGTTAAGACTGAGCGCTGAGGGCGGGAGCTCAGATCCTCAGTCTCTGTCCAGTCTGCAGTATAATCCACTGCCGGACAGTCCTGAGCGGAGCTGGATGGAGCGAGCCCATGCAGCGTTGCCCAGAAAGAGTGACATGGGAAGCTGTGAGATCTCCTCCAGCTCAGACACCTTCAGCAGCCCAGTGCACTGTGCTGCGGCGGGGCTCCACGGGCCCATGGACCATAAAGATGAGCACCAGTCCTCCAGCGGCAACTGGAGCGGCAGTAGCTCCACATGCCCTTCCCAAACCTCAGAGACTATCCCCCCCGCTGCCTCACCCCCCCTCACAGGCTCCTCCCACTGCGATTCTGAGCTCTCTCTAAACGCAGCCACGCACCACACAGACGATCCTCTAGACCACTACCAGGGCCTGAGGTCACAGCGTGCTGGCTCCTTCTCCTCCACAGCCATGGACATCCTGGAGGAGGCGGGGGTGGGCACTCCGGTGGGCAGTGACTGGGGCTATCCTCAGACTGAAGCCCCCTGTCCTCAGGACTTCAGCCCTGAGCCAAACCCAGAGTGTAGTCTGGACTGCCCCAGCTTCACCAGCATGGCCACATGTGAGAGTAGCTTCTCAGACAAGCCCCTGTCTGAGAAGGCCGACACTGTGTCCCACTACTCTGTGGACACTGAAGGCTACTACACCTCCATGCACTTCGACTGTGGGCTCAAAGGCAGCAAGAGCTTCACCTACAACAGCTACGCAGCATCTGAATACAGCCTCTCGGAGGTCGGGGGCCACATGACCTTGGGCCGTCGCTGTTTGTCTCTGAGGAAGAAAAAAGCAAAACCGAGCCCACCTCAGAGAAGCTCATCTCTCAGGAAAATCAGCAGTGAGGGTAATCTCCAGGAGCACAGTGAACCAAAGATCAGCTGTGGACAGCAGCCACCCCTGTGCTCTAAAGAGCGTAGGCTGCAGTTGCCCCTGTCCAGCTCCTCAGGGCACATGGAGCCCTCTCTGTCCCGGGAGTCCCTGGAGCCTCCAGGCCCTCTGGAGGTGTGGGACGGCTGCAGTGCGCTGCCTGACCTGGGCGTTTTCAGCTCCACAGATGCACACTCGTTTAAAGATGAAGGGGTGGTGCAGTCGGACTATGCAGACCTGTGGCTCCTCAATGATCTTAAGTCCAATGACACATACAGATCCCTGTCTAACTCCAGCACTGCCACTGGCACCACCGTCATTGAGAAGAACCAGGACAGCTCTGGATCTCAAACCTCTCAGTCTGGCTCCCGATCCACCACGCCCTCTTTGCCCTCAGTAGAGGGCGACTACAAACTCACCTCTCCTGAGAAACTGGCCGGGTTAGCCAGCCCATCCAGTGGCTACTCCAGTCAGTCAGAAACCCCCACCTCCTCCATCCCATCAGCCTTTTTTCCCGGGCCTCTGTCCCCCGCTAACAGGAAAAGAAAGCCCAAAGTCCCAGAAAGGAAGTCCTCTTTGACATCACTGTCCTACAAAAATGCTACATGTAAAAAGGACCTGGAGTTACCTGCAATCCCACCATCCCATTTGGATTTTGCCGCTCTTCAAAACCACAACAAGGCTGTTGTTTATAGGACTCAAATTCTCCACCAAAACAAACCCAAATTACCAGGAGAAACTGTAAGAGCGCCACCAAAAGGACAGTTATATGATGTACATCCCATGGCCATCACGCCTTCAGTGCTTCATACTGTGCAGCTCAAATCTATTTTTAAGGAACATGAAAACAGTCTAGATGAAAACATGCCAGATGCCACTCTGACAGATCCCACTATGAGCCTAGCTAGTGCACTGTCTACTTCTACTGAACTGGGCAGCTCTGTTGTATCCAGTCCTGAGGCCACTCCCCAAGAGTCATGCGAGTCAGTCTTCACTTCACACGAGGAGCTTACAGGTTCTTGTGAGATGAATAGTCAAGACAAAGAGGTTTCATCTTCAAATGAGAGCATGACACATTCAGAGCCAACTTTGGAGATGGACAAAGACAGCAACAAGTCAGACTCACTTATCCTTTCTGAAGACTGCCCCCTGGAGTTGGAAAGCTTCACTGCGAGGAGACTGGAGATAGTGGAGGATGATGATTTGGACAGCAGCAGTGCAGATAAATTGTTGTCTATGGATAATGAGTCAAAGCTTTCAGAGCAGTGTGCAGACAGTGAGGACAATAAAGAGGTGGAAGACCCAGAATCCTCAGGTGTGTCGACCGAAAGCTCCCCCAGCAGTAAAGACGAAGACTACTGCAGTAAAGGTATTGTACTTTTGAAGGAATAATTCAAGAAGTTACCTCTTAAGACTGTTGTTTGTGTCACAGTTTTCTGCACTTTTTCTTAGTTCTCAGAATGCATTAAGTCCTCAGTGTGGACAGGCTCTTAGCTTTCCAGTTTATTTTTAGAAGATGAGAGAGTAAAGGGCTATATTTAAACATACAGTGAGATAGAGTTGAGCCGTTCCTGATAGGCATACAGGTGTGTCTGATGAAAATGCAAGATCCAAGTAAACTTATGATTCCCATGTCAATAATGCGGCAAATATCAAAACATACATTTGTCCAGATAATTTCCCTTGTGCATCAAAGTTTGTCTAATCGATTTCTGCATCCGGTAAAATAAAAGAAAATATAACAAGAGGTTGGACATATTTAGAAATATCAAATGCTTAATGTATATTACTGACTAGTATTTTTATTTTTTTTTAATGCTGCAAAGAGAGTTGTTTAAACATAATAATGTGAGAAAGTTCTGATCTTTTGAATCTTTTTTCTTGTTTGATTATGATGACCACTAGTGTTGATGCTCATGTACTTTTGCAATATTTTGTGTTATAGACAGCACCCCAAGTGACCCCTCCGTGTCTCCTCTGAGCGATGAGTCCAGACCAGAAGATGATAGTGTGTTTCTGTCTCCAACAAAATCACGCACCACGGAGGACTTGTTCGCCATGATCCACAGGTCAGGATTACTGACCTTACATCACTACACACCCTACATTATGCTTATTCTTTACATTCAGTAGTGTGTATATTATACACATATATTTTCTAAGCTTACTACCCGCAGAGGATTTAGTTTAAACTTAGGACACATTATAATGTGATTTTGGTTGTATTTAGGGCTTAATTACATAAATCAATAAATTTACTTCTTTTTTGTAATATCAATAATACAAAAATACTTCAAATCTAAATACATTAGCACATTGTACAGTCACATGGTTTACAAAGCATGGATAAAAATTATTTAAAGAGGGGGTAATACACAACATGCTGTAAGATGTCCTTGTGTCAGTAACCTTGCAATCTCTCCCTGGTCCTATTTGAACCCTCCTTACAGTTAGCTGTAAGATTCCATCTCATGCTCAGCCTATAAGTCTACGTCACCCATGTTTCCGCACGACAATTCTCCATAAATGCACAAAAGCGTGATTCAAAATTGTACACAGCAGCTTCATAAACCTGACGTGATGTGCAGTAGTTTCATTAGCAGAATGCACGCTGATGGTGTTGTGATAGCGCTCTGAAGTGGGAGTGACTTTGCATGGGGAGCAAAGGAAGGAAGGCCTCAGAGCATCAAAAACTAAAGTGAAACTTATAAAAAAAAGTTAATATGTTGTTTTCTGTGAATATTGCATTTTCAAAACAATAAAAGGTAACATGGATTTCTAAATAGGTTATATGTTAACCCATACAACTACAATACTACCCCTTAAAATATATATATATATTGTACTTAACCTTAGTACTTCTCAAACCTCAAAATCTAATAAAAGTAACTTTATAAATATAAATAAATAAATAACAAAAAACACACACACAAAGGATTCTTCTATGTCTAATACAAACTACATTGTGTTTTTGTTAGGTCCAAGAGGAAAGTGTTGGGACGAAAGGACTCTACTGAAATGTCTGCTCGAACCCGCCTGAGTGCTGCATCAGGAAGTGCCTCTCCTTGTAGCTCTGCCTCCAGCCCAAGCCCCACCTCTGCTGTGTCTCCGCCCCCTGTTGTAACCCCGCCCACCGGCCTCCACAAAGTCCCAGGACCAATCTACAGGAATGCTAAAAAATCCAGCACCTCTAATGAAGAGTTCAAACTACTACTTCTGAAAAAGGGTAGCCGATCTGAATCCAGTTATCGCATGTCAGCTACAGAGATCCTCAAAAGCCCCATTACACCCAAATCTCCCTCGGATTCTTTACTATTCGACTCGCCAAGACCTCAAGAAGAACCTGCATCGCCCATACAATACCAAACCAGCTCTGAACAACCTATTTCCAGCCCCTATCCCAGATCAAATTCAGAGGGTTTCTCCCCAAAATCTTTCCACTCCTCCAGACAGGGGCGCTCTAGGATCCCCCCTCCTGCCAGCAGCAGTCGCTATGGGATGAGGCGACTCTACTCCGCACCAATGCAAGCTATTTCTGAGGGCGAAACGGAGAATTCAGACAGTAGTCCCCATGACGACCGATCTTCATAGAAAAAGGTCGAGGTAAAAACTATTATGGACCACTGGACTAATGCACATAATCTAAAGGGCATGTGAGCTGGAACAACTTATGAATTTAAATTGTTTAAAAATCAAATCTATATTTAGTTTTTTAAAATGTGTAAAAATCTATATTTACTGAGAATAGTGTCCCTTTATGGTTTGTCTGTGCATAGTTTCACTTGTAATGGATATTTTACACACAAACTATCGTCACCATCATTTAAATGGGCAACCAGTTCTTTGAACTGTGCACAAATGAAAACTTATGCAATGAATTATCACAGCTTGACATTAAGATGAAATGCAGCTTTACTTGTTATTTTAACTTCCTGTTTTGTAACTTAATTTATGTCAAAACTTTGTCACCAGACAAAAAAAACAACACAATAATCAGCAACACATTTGTCAAATTTGGACATAGTTTTTCCCCTGCTGACCCTTTTAAACTGACTATTAAAAGCACATTACTATTGTAAATTGGTATCTCAGTGTTTACTTTCCTACCTGAAGCCAAGTAGCTGGTTGCCTCCCTCCTATTGTTCCCCTACAAAATGAATAATGTACCACCCTATGTATTCTGTGAATACCTATGCAATAAGAAACCATTCTATGAGTCACTTGTCCAACTATTTTGATATCTACCCGTAAAATATCAGGGCTAGCACTGAGTGGCGCTGCAAGAGTGAAAATGTGAATGCACCTATTCATTCAGCTGGACAACAGTGTGATAACATGCCTGTACAGAAAATAACTGAAATATAAAGAATTACATCCATGTATTTTATATCTGTCAAAGCCAAGCACTAACTTGACAATCTAAAGACAAGAAGAAAACAGAAAGTGATTTACAAGTGTGAGGTAGTGAAATTGAGAGGCGTTTGGAACAAGGAGGACACATGTATTCTTAAAAAGGTCATCTGTGGATTTGCTGATTTTGTTTGTTTACGAATAGTCGCAGAGAGACGAGTGGAATGTGTTCAGGGGGTTCAAATGTTTAACCACTTACAGAATCCATACATTAAGTGGCAGCTTCGATCTCTGAAAGTTCAGTATTTGTGGAGATATGACATAATCAATCGTCTGCCTGTGGTCAACTTGGTCAGTAGTTGTCAAGCAGTAATTTATGGAGATGGCATCTGCTGCTTTTCTATACCAAATGTCCCTTTATTTACTAGCCAAAACATTTACTAACATGGTCAATAATCAAATTACACACACAAATATATTTATTTTTATAACTTCACAGAATAGATCATCTAAAAAAGTTGGTTTGTACCTTTGAAATGCCCGTTAATTTCTGGAGTAAAGTATGCAATGATGAACAAATATTTAATAACAGATTTTTAGGATCTGGTTGTGATAAACAGAAGCAACATATATAAATAAATGGTATGGTCAGTTATAAGCTAGACGTGCATCTTTAAGTTTGAAGCTACTAGTGGTAATGGTACTCAAGCTGTTATCATTAGCCCAGTAAGAGTCTATTTTTGAAACATAATACAAGTTAGTTTACTTTAAATTACTTTACAACTAACAGTAGTCAAACAGTAGTGCCAAAATATTGTATGGGTTTTTAGTATACAGTAAACAAACAATTGAGCAATGAATCTAACCCTAAAATAACAAATCATAACTAATATTTCATATTCTTTAAATGGATTGGATCCATGTGGGGGAAAAATGATATTATTGTTATTTATGTAAAAAATTTTCAGCCCTTCAGTAAGATTTTTGCACAGTTCTTTATGTGACAGATTACACATCTGATTTACCTACCCTCAGTTGTTTTGATAGTTGTTTTGTTACTGCACTGATCTGTTTTATCTGGAAATATATTTGCACCAAGCTGTTGATCTTACTTTATAATAATAACACTATAACACATAAACTTTATTCTCAGCCCGCACAGCAAGCCGTTCCACTTGGCTTCCCAGTTGCCACCTTTTCCAAAATGGGTCTAAACTAATTCTAAACCAAGACTGAATTAGTTGTTGAAAACACTCTGAAGTCTGTAAACAGGGTCTGTACACCGAGACTAAACTGCCATGAGAGGCATGTACACAACTTAACCAGGGACTAAACCAGGACTAAATAGGACTTAAACCAGGATTAAACCAGGTCTAAACTTTAACCTAACCATCATTTGAAGAACTAGTTTACCATCAGATATCACCACTGGACTTGACTGTTCTGCCAAAGTCTACATCATATTTTAGAGGCATTTGTTTTGTCTTTATTGTTTACTTGACTGAAAACCAATGCTGACACAAACACATAATGGTACTATAGACATTTTATTGAATCCACAAAGATAATACTGTTACTACTATGAGAATTGTATTTTTCTTGTATACATTTGTAAATAGAATAACTTTTGTCACTAAGTTTGTTGAATTGTAAAAAAAAAGTTTTCAAAGTTTACATTAATTTGAACCTTTGTATATTTTTGAGCTGTGGAACACCTTGTATTGTATTTATTTTTAGTAAGCGTTGAACCCATAGTAAATCTTATTGGAACCAACTGCTGCAGCACAACAGGCTGCTGAGCAAATGTACAGTTTAAAGAGATAAATAAATGTGACTGATTAAAATAACTTTGTTTGAATGTGTATTTCTTCCTTTTTAATTCATTAAGATTTGTGCATCTTATTTGGCAATAAAAAACAAAGCTATTTACACAAGACACACTTTACAAAAATTTATGAACAGTTTTAATGAGTTTTTAATGCAACATTTGGCTTCTTTTGTCTCTTTGGTTTAAACTGATATATGAATACTTGGGGCTCATAGATTGTTTTATTTGTCAGTATTGCTTTTGAACACTAGAGGGCGTTCTCGAGCTCAAATTGGGTGAGTTTTCGGTGGGAAATTGTATGCAAATTTGTACATTTGAATTGTGGGTCTTTGTTTCCTGTAAGCATTCAGCATAGAGTTTACAGTGATTGGATTTATATTGGGATAAACATGCTATATATGCTGCAAAATGTAATTTTTCCTTTTGCCAGTGGAAACACACCTTTATAGTTTGTGTTAGTTTGGGATGGGTTGTGTGAAGTCTGGTTGAGTTGCTCTAGATAACATCACTGGACTTTCAGAGGAACGTTCTGTCCTTGTCTTTTCACTTTGAAACAGAAGGGCTAAAGTCATAAAATAGGCAGATTTGGATAAGACACATGACATTGCTTTGAATAAACAAATACAATACACTAACTGAATTGAACAAATACGATGTTTTGTAGCTCTTGTTTTCTCTCTTTCTCTTTTCATTCATTCATTAATTCAAACCTGCAGTATCTAATCTAAAAAAGTTTTAAAAGTAAGGTTTCATAATGAGCCAATAAGCATAAGGTATCTGAGTAATGCAGTGTGACACATCTCTCTGCGCTGCATGCATGTTTGTGGATAAGTCTGGAGCTGATTCAAAGTGAATGAATCAGGAATGACAGAGGAGAAGACAACACGTGCAAACCATTTCTGTCAATGACAAGTCACTGTTTTCAATACGCACTGTGTGTTATATGTGAAGAATAAACTTTGAACTGCACCTGTGACTAATAGTGGGCGATGGGGGAGGAACAAGACCACAGAGGCAGCAGCGCCCTCACTAGGCCACATGAGAGTACTGTGGTCCTCATTATAAAGCATTGCACATCCTCCCAGAGGGGCAATAATAAGAGGCAGGAGCCGGAGGCAGGGCCCGAGGCTGGTGGGGGCTGATACAGGGACCCAAGGGACCGTCCTCAAACGGGACTGTCCCACTCCACTCACGCCCCCAGCTCACAATATATCTTACATCTACTACATAGGCCGGGCAACAGCGTCATGGTCAAATTAATCAGTTAGACCCCCAAGAGGAAGACAAGACTTCTATCTCAGCAGTAGAAAATTTCATTTATTAATGTATTCATATTGAAATTCATTTAAACACAGATTATTAGGCACTGTATTTTTGTTATTTCTCGAACTGACGCCAGTGCACACTATTTATATATATTTTTAATACAATGCTGGGACTAACGCACTGGTTTGTATGGTCCCATGATAAGCTACTGACTGATCGTAGGCCTAAATAGCTCAACAAAGAAGAGTATTTTTCACATAGGCCAAGACATGGCCTATAGAATAATTGCCATAAAGGCCTATTTGTTTTTTAATTGCGAAAGGACATGTTTCAAAGTCTGCGTTTTAAAATAACAAGATTTCGCATGTAAATTCAATTATATGAGCCAATTTTATCTCCCTTATTGCGTCAACGCGCCAATCTGTCTCTGATGTCCCTGTGATGATGGAGGAGGAGGAGGAGGAGGAGGAGGAGGAGGGCTGTGAAGATGCGTGCGCAGCCACAGTCTGGAGTCGCCGCGACGGAACCGCAATAAGCATAGAAATTACAGCCACATCCATGTATTAAAACGCACCGGGGCTTTCATTCATAAACAACATTGCCTTCAAAGGCGGCTCATGTGCCTGTCTACTCCTGAGGTAAGTAATCGTTCGTATTTGTAGCGAAATACTCATTCTGTTTGATTAAAGGAAGAGATTAAAGGAGGTAAACCAATCTCTTTTTACAATCTAGCATATTTAACTGCTCACACGTGGAATGTGTTTAATAGTGCTAGCTATTAGCATTAAGCGCTGTAAAACTAATCAATGTTTCTGTTTGGACATCACATTGGTGGCTGTAATAAACAGCTAGCTTGATCCGCGGTGCTGCTTGCCAGTGGCACGCACCGTCTGACAGGGCACATACGGCACAAATAGATCATTATTTAGGCTAATAATACACAATAGTTAGCTTGGGTTCACATTTATTTGGCAGCCAAACTGCAGGCCTGTTTATGTTGGCTGGAGAGATGCTAGGAGGCTGTGCGTAATGGCACCGAGCGCTCGCCTCAGCCTCCCCGTGTCTTTTCATGGCGAACCCGACACTACACAGACACTGGCTCCCTACGCGCACTGCTGTGGTCTGCCTGTCTGTCTGTGTATCTACGGGGATTCATCGGGAAAGACAAATGTCACTGGTAAAAGAAGCGAGAGGAGGCAGCGGTATCACCTCAAGTGAACCGCACTGGGGACCGAACTACAGCCATGACAATGTATGCGCAGCTTTCTCAATGTGGGCTACGTGTACTCTTATAGACGAGATGGCAGCAGTATGTAATCGATTTAAAAATACTCTTAGGGTATGTATTAGCTATTTTATTTATAAATATGAAGCAAGACCATAGCAGTAGATATGCTGCTATTATATAGCCTATTCGAATGCATTATAAGATAAAGACCCTGGCCTAGACATGGGAGATTGCTCATCTTTTATAAATTATTTTAATCTGAGTTGAAAAAAGGTATCAATAACCTAGAGATTGAAAGTACAAGAATTAGCAAGTTCCTTGTATGTAATTAATTAATGACAAGATGAATGCACTAAAATAGGGTTGATATCTACTTGTGACTTGATCTTTCTCTGTCTATGAGCTTCAGAATGATTAGAAATAATTGCCATAGCGATTATCACAAAAATTTCTTATCTTTTGAATGTGAAAAGTCTTTAAAATGTTGCATCAGCTGAAACCCATGAATAGACCAATCTTTATACAATCCAATTCAAGTATGTTTAAGCTGAACATTAGGAACATCTTTATGTGACAAAGTGAAAACCTGAAATTACAGCAGTTATGCATCATTTTGCCTATTCTGCTTAAACCAGTCATTATTCTAATTGTATTGACCCTAAATGTGAATTATTCATCACATGTGCCTCCCCCTGTGGCAGTGAGCAGAGCGTGCGGGGGACAGCTGGTTGAATAAAGCCTTGATTTGGGCTCTTGATGTGGGAGCAGCTTGTGCCCCTCTGTCAGGACGTCCAGTGCACTGATGAGCCAGTGCGTCTGTAATGAGATGTAATTGGCTATCGGAGCGACAGCAGTGCAGGGGTGGGGAGGCCGCTGACCTTTTGATTACAAGACCTGCTCCTATAGGATTCAATCTGCTTTGTCCTCCTGGAAGAAAAATCACAAGTTATCATATTTATTTCGACATAACAGTACAACAGCTTAATGATGCACTGATTAAAGTCTAAATGTATCAAGATTATATCAAGAATTTGAACTTTGATTGCAGCTAGACACATTAAAAAGTAGGCCTTAAAATGTTTTAAATAGCCAGGATACAAAAAGATTCATAGGGTGATAAAACATATACTCAAATTATATCCTTTTTTTCTTTTTCCTTTTTTTTTTTTGTTAACCACAGCAAATCACTGTTGCCCTAATTGGCAGTATATATTTATTTTTTTCCTTTGTGTTAGCTTATTCACCCCATTTATCCACATTTTCTACAGGAGTACTTATTTGTGATCTGAGTTTTATTGCCGATGATAAGTGTGTGCAGTACTTCTGGGTGGGGCTTTTATATTAGACCTGAATATTCCAAACAAACCTATGCAGCTGTAATTTGCCAAGACAACAAAAATACACATTATTAAAAAGGAATATGTTTCATCAAGTCGTATTGAACACTTTAAGAGATTCATAAGGTCTTGAATTTTTCAGCCAACAATCTAGTGCTGTAACTCACTCAGCTGTTTGTGGTGCGGTTGTTTTCACTCTTAACTCTGCATCTGAAGGCGAGGAAAAGAGAAATGTGGAAGTGATTACAGAAAAGGACAGGGGAGGGACTAGGGCTGGCTCTTTCTGTTCAGGCTCTTCATGACTATTTACTTAATTAGCCGTTACTGGATGGTGTACACAAAGCTCTTACAGATGATGCTGGCAGTGGTAGAGGTAACTATATACTGCTACAACGGAGGCAGATTTTCTTAATAAACAAATGTAACTTTTACATAAAAAACAAATATCTAATTGCATAAGAATATTTTGTTTATCTTGGTTGCAAAATGAGAATTGGTGGTGATAATAGCATAGCAGTGTTGATAGCTGTGGTTGTGGTAGAAGTAATTCAGTGTGTTAAACGAGGCCTTAACCACAACATCATCAGTAGTTGATGTAGTTTTAATTGTAGTCATAGAAACAGTAGTATTGGTTTAGAAATAGCAGTAGTAATGGTTGAATGAATGATTTAATTCAACCATTACTCCTTCAATTCAACCATTGTTATTTTTTATTTTATCTTGCATGAATAGCTAAATAGCTGTTCATAATGAGCAGGTTTGTTTGGCGTTGCATGCTTTTAACATGACTTCACATTTCAAGAAAACCACAAAAATCTGCCTCTATTTCCAACCAAGTTTTTCAAAGGCTATAATCTTCAAAGAGATTTAGAGATTATTGTTCAACCTATAGGCATTAAGGGATTGACGTCTCTGCTCTTTTTTCAGAACAAATTCATTATTTTTTACAAAAATGTGTCAAAAATCTCAACTAAATCAGAATTAGTAGAGCAGTAGTAAACAAGGAAGAAGGACACAACCATGGGATCCAACTAACAGTGAAGCAGGGAAAAACTAGTTTGTAAGTATAATAAGTTAGGAAGAAAGACTGAACCAGAAGTAAACCCAGGCTAAACTAAGTGAAATCACAACTATAAGAGAGATTTGTCCCATGGAAAACTGATCAGATACGGCTTGTCTTTGTCCTTCTGTGTCTGTAAAAACAAGACAAGATGGAGCGAGTCATTGATAAACAGAAAAGGTCACTATCAGTTGGGGATGTGGAGATGGGCATTTCAAGTACAAAACTATTCAAGTTACTCTGGATGGAACTAAATATAGTTTACTAAATATAGTTTACTACTGCTATTAGAATCCAGTACTAGCCGTTCTAGTTTTCTGTACACTGCAGATTTCTCTGATCTGGCCGAGACATTAAAACTTATATCAGGTTATTCTTTTTGTTTTCAGATTCTACTTAATAGTTCTGAGACTGCTTAATTCGAGTCTAGAGGCATGGATAGATAATTTCACTACGTTTAAGTCATTTTCTGATAGATTTAAGTGTTTATTTCTTAAATTTTGGCCAAGCTTTTTTGCAGTGAAGTAATGCAACTCATTCTGTCATTATTTTTTTTGTTAATGAGGTGTAGCGATGGTTCGAATACTACTGCTAATACTACTACATTACTACAACGACTACTTTCTATCACTATTTGAAATCCTAAGTCTAAGTAAAACTTCCTTGTTGACTTTGTGTGTTGAGCTTGACAGTGGATTCACATGATTTGAGTGAGAGTCATCCTGGTTGTGATTAGAGCTTAGCGTCTAGTCACCTGATCTAAGGCCTCAATCTATGCCACACTTTCCCCTCTTCATCAGTCCTCACAATATCTATCATGTGAGCTCACATACTGCACTCTACAATGTATTTTTCAAGTGCCATCTTCAGTATGCTAAATGAGCCCAGTTCCCCATGTTTAGTCTGTTAGTTAAAGCTGCATTGTGTAACTCTTCTAACTCTTCTAGTGGTTTTCTGTCAAATGCTTTTCTCCAGGGAAATGTTTTTGCTTTGTCTGGAATGCTTCACAATATGGTATTAGATTTTTTATTATCACAGAGACTAAACCAGACCAAGTTACAAGCCAGATCTGTGGAGAGGCAACCCATCTTTTGTGATACAGCACAACAGTAAACAAAGCTGTTTAATAAACAAAATAATTTAATAAACAATTAATTAAACAAGGACTTCACCACACCAAATTTTCAGCAGCACAGCTACACTGGTCTTAAGTAGGTTGAATAGAGAGAGCTGTATATTCTGTCCCTGTGGTCACTTTGGGCTGAACTGTGATAGTGATAGGGGAAACTGCTGGACCAAGAAAGACCTCTTTATTGAGTCACAGACCTCATGACCGTTATCAAGCAGGAAATGTCTTGTCTCAGACTTCCTGGAATGGAAGAAAACCGCAAAAGATCAGGAAGGATTTGTAGCATTTTAGAGACACAAAGTTATAATGAAGATTTTAACATTTCTAGGAGTCATTCAAGGCTATTATAGTGTTCTCCAAAAGTTCAAAAGTATGTTTACTGACCCAGTAATCAATATTAAAACTATTATTGAAGAGCTATGCTTTGGTTCAAATTTTAAGGAGTTTTCTTAGCATCAGTAAAGAATAAATCATACATATTGTCTTTTTGTGCGCACAAATGTATGTGTGCAAATAATTTGTATGCTAAGACAGCTGAATAACTTTATTGTTATTATTATAGAACCATGTTTTCTCTGCATATTGAATGAAGAACTTGACATTTGCGTAAAGCATGGACTTTTCTAGGCCTTCCAGATGATCTTTTATGAGCGTAAAGATGTGTGTCTGCTCCATTTAACGTGGCAGTGCATCATGTACATAGGGCTATCACTCAGTCTGACACTCTCTGTGCCCCATTCCATACAGCTCACCCCCCTCCTGCTATAGACACACACAAGAGTTTTATTGGTACCATGCGGGATGAATACAGTTTTAATATGGCAAAGTGCACTGTGGAGTTGGATCACTGGTGATATAGTTGTGCTTGTAGCAATAGTTATTGCAGATATGTGGCATATTAGTAGGAGCAATAAGGGGTTTAATGCTGTGGGGCTGTACTACTTTTATAAACATAAGTACCCATAAGAGTAGTGCCTGCTGTTAGTGTAATTGGTAGCTGTTTAGTACTAGTGGGGTACTTTAAATAATACAGTAGCTGCAGCACTACAAGAAAATAATTATAGTAGTAGTAGACAGTCGACCGCCAGGGATAGGCTGAAAAGTCCTCAATCAGTTCCTTCTCCTTTTCCAGCCCTGGCATTATGATTGCATACTTGGTACTTTTTATCAGGTACTTTTATTTCATTTTGAGCTCTATTCCATTCATCTTATTCCTATTACCTGGAGAGAGGAGCTAGTTTGAACTAACTTAGCGACAAACTTCTTGTCCGATGGTCTGGCTTCTCTCCATGTAATCCATCAGAGACCTATTACAGTGTCATCTCTATGGGAGGAGGTGCATTATGGAGGCAGCCCGGGGGTACACAGGGCCCAGGGAACCCAACACCACATGAAGAAGCCCAAAGTGTCACGCCTGCCGCTCCCAAATTGGAAATGCATGTGTGGCTTTAATTGGGTTTTGCACTTAAAAGATCCCAGAGACTTTAATGTTATGTTTAGATTGAGGGTTAGCCCCAACTGTATCCTCTAGCTAGCATCAGTATGAAGTGTCACAGAGAGAAATACTGAAGAATATACGCTGGCACAATATAGTGTACATGTAATAATTTAAGCCAATATAATCAAAAATGTCCAGAGACCAGAGTCCAAGACTACCTTTGAAACCTTTTCCACCAATATGAGCATTAACATTTGAGAGAAGATCTAGACAAGGTTCGCTAAACTAATACATGAAGTATTGTAGTGGCTGCTGTTTTAATCCAAAAGAGTAGTATTTCTGTGCTTACATTATTAATTCAAGACTTAGTAATAGTAGTAGAATGTAGTAAACATGCATTGCTGTGAATAATTGACCTTGTTTATTCTGAAGTGTTGTACCCCATCTCTCTAGGGACTCTCTATCAGAACAGACAGTGTGCATGTTGTCAAGCAGACGCACAAAGAGCATGAAGGTCACACAGATGAACAGATATGAGAGCATGTGTCCCATGTTTTGGCAAACACTCCCCTCCTCCCCCTTGCTGCACAGGGCTAATCAGTCCAACTTCTTCACTGGCTCTTTACCAGAGATGCACACAGGGGAGGGGCCTGTGATCAAAGCATTTGTCTGCAATCAGGAGGAAAAAACAGAAGAACAATAAAAGCACATTTTAGTGAAATCTCAGAATAAGCCATCACATGCACAAATCCAACTCCACTTTCTTGTAAATCAGTCAGGAACATGTCTTTGCATGGCTTTTTGACGTTAGATTGATTGTCGAGTGTCATATTTAAACAGTTATATTGTCTGTGTGCAGGGTGGAGCAGAGCAGTGATGACTACGGGACGTCCCTAAATTACACAGAGGTCACACAGGGGCAGACGATGGAGGCCAGTGACAGAGCCGCAGGAAACATGGCCCAGTCACAGATAGGGGGCAGCACTGATGGAGAACAGGAACAGACTGCTGTTAAAACAGATAGTGCAGCTCCTGAAGCCTGTGAAGAAGCAGTATCCGAGCTGAAGACAGGGATCTCTCAACTGCCTGAGGCTCCCTCGGGGGGGAGTCCCAGCGCTGACGGCCCTGGAGGAGTGGCCCTCAAAGTGGCTACCACAGTGCTACACCCAGTGTGTTTAGGAGACAGTCCTCTGATGCTGCCCATACACCTGCAGATGAATGGAGGGCCTCAGCTGGGGCAGATGGGGGCCGCCCCTTACCTCATCACCAGCCAGAGTCCCATGTCTCTACCCCTGGTCCTGGAGCAGCAGGTGCTGCAGCACATGGGCTCTTCTGTGATCCCTCAGAGCCCAAACTGTGCCCCCCTGCCCCTCCAGAGCAGTATCTTATGTCAGGGTGCCCTCCCCTTCGCCCTGTCACCAGGTGCGGAACAGAAAGCTCCAGGTCAGACTCCGGACACCAACCTCTTGTCTCTGCTCCAGAACCCTGCCTTCGCTGCCATCCTACAGGACCTGTTCCCCTCTCAATCCGGGGCATCCGGGTGTCCATCTCCAGGCTCTCCCTTCTTCTCTGCTCCTCCTCTGACTCCTCCATACTCTTCCCCTCTTGCCCCTCTGGTCCCTCCAGCTACACTCCTGGTCCCATATCCGGTCATCATCCCTTTGCCTGTCCCCCTGCCTGTCCCCTTGCCCATCCCTGTTCCTATCCCCTCTGAGGACTCCAAGGGGAACCTTCCCAAATCTGTTTGCACTGTGAGCCAAAGCACTCAGACCTGTTTACAGGACACTACCTCTGTCCCTGTGTCCTCAGGACACTGTCCCACCGCCCTCCCTTCTCACACTGTGTCTGATCCCTCTCCTCCTGAAGAGACACAGGTGTTGGACCTCTCTGTAAAGACATGTCCCATTCAGCCCAAACAGGAGTTCCCCAGTGTAGTGCAGCAGGACAATGTGCTGGATCTTTCTGTGCCCGGGGGCAGGGCCAAGGCTCCAGAGAAGTGCTCCTCTGTGGCTGTGGGGTGCACTCAGAGTTTGGACTCTAAGCTCTTGGGCAGCCTGGCCTCAGTAGAGTTTAGCCGCCAGCACAAGTGGGTGGTGGACAGCACCCCGGGGTGCAGCTCCCTGGGACAGGACCCCTCTCTCAGTGGGACAGGAAACCTTGAGATTGTCAGTGCCTCTCAGACAGCCAAGGTCATAGTTTCTGTGAAGGACGCCATCCCTGCCATCTTGTGTGGGAAGATTAAAGGCCTTTCAGGAGTCTCCACAAAGAACTTTTCCATCAAACGGGACGCGGCCCAGGGCACGTCGCTGCAGCAGCTCTACGGGGTGCAGCCTGTGCCTCAGGGGGAGCAGCGAGACCCCAATGACCCTCTGAAGAAAGTGTCCAAAAACAGAGCCATCAAACTGAAGAAGGTCAGCTCACAGGAGATACATTTCCTTCCCATTAAGAAGCAGCGCCTGGCCGCTCTGTTGCCCCGGAAGTGAGAGAGCCCCCCCTGGAGGGCGTAACATAAAACACATGCGAGATGTCCACAAATTGAACTTGCATGTCAAAGCCTCATCACATCTGGGGCTGGTGAATGTCTGACAGTGTCAAAATCACAGCAAAGTGCTTTTCCTCTGGACCTAATGCACTACAACAGTGTTAAACTAAAACAAGTGCGGGACTGTTTTGTGTTTGGCAGCTCAGTGTGCTCTGGTGGCTTTGGCTCAGTCACTAATGTTTAAGGACGTTTGTAATTTAAGAGAAAGGCCGGTTCCACTTTTCCATTTCGGTCCATAGTTTATTTCCACTTTCTGAGTGCACTGAAGGCTGACCCATCTGCTCTGTCACAGGGCCTTAGTGAGCAAGCAGAGGAGCAGACTGTTACATTGTTTTCCTCTCTGGGTTTAGCATGATGAAGACATGCTAAGTTAGATGAGGATTACCACAGATGGATACTGGTGACAGCTTTAGGTCACACATACATTCAGGTTGGCAGTGAAGTGCTTTGGTTGTATATGACAAGAAAACTGCTGTTTCCCTTGACGTAAAACTGTGATAAGATGAACAGGCACACTTCAATAAGTCAGAATACTGTGGAAATTCCATCTATGTTAGTGGTTAAATTAAAGGGTGAATACAATGCTTTCATCAATCAGGCATAATCGTGTGACCACCAGTAAAGTGTTTGTGATATTCAGCCTGATACGCTTTCTCCTTGTCAAAAATGTTTTATTTATATCCATCTGGTTTTAGTCTTCAGATCTGGCAACCCAAGTGTTAGATTCATGGTGAAAAAAATAGAAGAAATCACCATTGCACTCAATTAAATACTAAATATAACCTACTTAACACCACAGTGACAAAAGGTAATAATAAAGAAGTCTGTGTCTATAAGATGAATCACCCTTTCCACACAAACAACATAAATACTAAACAGACTTGAGCCGTATTCTGATTTATTGACATGTGCCCTGAGTCTGTAGGAGTTGTGTACATTTTGAAGAACACAGTGAACTGCAGTACCTCAGATGTTTTGGCTGGACTGAGGCGTATTTATTGAGTGTGTGATTAGTCTGTTAGTAAAAGTCCCAGAAGAAGATTTGGTGTGAAACGTGACGTCATTTCATTGTTTTTGTGAAGTATTTAAGTGTCCCACGAAGATCCCAGATGTGAATGTTTATTTATCCTCTTTGAGTGCACTTTGTCATAGTTTAGTTTGGAAAAAGCTACAGGGTTAACTCTCTTTTCCCTCTTCTGTGATTGAATAGAATGAATTGTGACACGCATTATTGAATATGTTGGGACACTGTGAAAATTACAATCTACAAAATGCAGAAATTATAAACTACATTTTTCCTCAAATCTCTTGTTTAGTAAAAGTCACAACTAAATGTATTTATTTTTAACATACCATTATTATTTATATACATACATTCCTTTTTAAGTATGTAAAACTTGTGTCTCAACCTTTTCAGAATTCGATTTAAAATGAGAGAAATCAGAGACACTAAAAAGTTACTCAAAATGAAAATATTTATCAAGTTTCACTCTTGATACTTCACTCATGTCTGCAATGCATTTGACATCACACACTTGGTTCCCACAGTAGTAATTTATTCTTCGTACATGTTTTATTTATACAAATTGAGTGGATACTGTACAGGGCGATTAAGAAAAAAGAAAGTAAAAAGTGTGTGTTTTTTCAGGACGTTTTTGGCCTCTGTCTATAATATTTGAGTGAAGGTGTAAATGAAAGAAGACCAGTGGACATGTGCTGGTTCAGTGTTTACTTACTGTACAATGTCTGTGCTTTTTATATGACGCTCAAGTAAAATACATCAAACACTCAACTTAAATATTTGCCTTTTTCTTTACAACTCCCGTGTGATTTTGTCTGGTTAAAATGTGTTGTGTTATAGCTTAATTTGAGCTGATTCTTAAGTGTAGGGTTAGACTATTACATTTTTAACCAATTTATTCAGTGTTTCAGAGTTTCGAGATAAAAAATGAGGTCAGTAAAATAACAAATAGCCACTTTGTTAGATAGTTTCCACACTCCCAATTTGGAGAAGAAATCAGAAGCCATTTTGTAGTATAAATAAAATATATTATCACTTCAAAACAGTTAAAAGTAAAAGCTACTAACATGTATGGACACTGCAATAGATTATATTTCCTTTGTAATAGTTGCATATTTACTGGCCTTATAATTTGCAAGACTTTTCCTTTTATCAAATCAAACAACTGGCAAAATGTGAACTGATGTTTGAGATATATTTTGACATTGGCCATACGTTACATACACTTCTTTGATACTATCAACTCAATGAGATTATGCAGCCTACCTAAGGATATCATAGAACCTCTTCAATTCTGCACTGTCCCTTTAAGAACGAACATGTGTTTGTGTGTATCTTATTTTTCAGTTGTTTACACATTTTCCAGTGACAGTGAGCTTTCCAGGATTGAGAGGTTCCTTCCTGTTTCAGAACTACAGCCAAGTTACTGTCTCGAGCCCTCCACTGGGCACAAGAAAGAATTCAATTATGTAAGCATGAGTCAAAGGCCTGAAATGTTGAAGGCCTGACCAATCATCAAATGTGTGTTTGTTTATTCTGTATTGTATTAAGCTTGACACATGAAGCAATCCAGTACATGTGTTATCTTATTTTCGACTAATAGTTTTCCTAATACTTGACTTGTGTACCTGCTGTTTACCCCATGTACCCCATGGTTTAATAACTAGTCATATTTAACTTCTTTAAAGAAATAATCCAATCCTTTGTAACATCTTCTTTATAATTACTATACAATAAAATTAATTTGTAGGGCAAATGTTCTCAAATGAGGTAAGAATATAATATGGTAGTAAAGGTTTAGATTTTGTTTAGTCTTGTTTGGCCTTGGTTTGAATAATAATCTGAATATTGATTTCTAAAGTTTGGAAGACAGTTGAGTAGAAGATTACAAACCACAAAACCCCAACACCAAAACATGCATGCCATCTACACTTGGACAGAAACCAGACAATATCATTATTACCACATTGTTTATCGGTTGTGACATTATGGACAAGTGACTTTGCAAGACAATACGGTAATTTCAAGTATTTTAAGAGGATGCAGGAATCCAACTATCTGATGTTCCTCATAAATAGTATATGGCACAAAGTACTTAAGGGGGTAACAGGAAGAGTATGTGTAAGTACAAACAGTATGCTACAAAAGTACTACAAAGATCACGTAATCCTGAGAAATGTTGTTGGTAAAGCAAGGCAAGATCTATTATTCAATATTGGAACTAAAAGCGTTGCATTAAGTTTTTTTATGAACAAATTAACCCAGTTTTCAACCTCCCCAAATCCTCCCCCCTCACATAACTAACATAAGTATATTATTTACTTAAAATATTAACGTTTCTACAAAATGTACATTCGGTTGCTGAAATTCATGGTTAAACCCATAAAACTGTACACATCTCTGCTAACAGTGATTGCAACGGTCAAAAGCTAACAAAATGATTATGACAAATATAGGAAACATCAAACAAAGGATAACAGCCCTTGTCAGATTTCCTTTGACTTTCCATTGAAATGACACTTCTCAGCCTGTTCTCAGTCATGTGTAAAAATGATCTGATAAAAAACTGCATGAAAAATAATAGGAGGCAACTTAGGGCTTGCTAAGACACAAAAATAATACCATTCTTGTCCAGCATGCAAACGCACATTTAGGACAGCGGTAGAACAAACTCAATGTCTCTGAATGTAAAGGGAGAAACTAGTGTCTAGTTCAGAGTGAGACAGTCATCAATTCTTCAGGTAAACAAGTGTATCAATACTTTCTAAAGTACAAACACACCAATCAGGCATAACATAATCATTCTATAGCCTCGCATGGAACTATATCATGTTTTCTGACTTTACTTTATGAGCTTCTGCAGTAATTTGAGATGCAGTCACTCTCCATTACTGGCCAACCGCACATGAATCACTTATTATTGATTCACTACTGTTCTTTACTTCCTGGGTCCACTTTTAATACATACTGACCACAGCAAACTTGCACTGATCCCATTATCCCAACACTTGGCCATTTCAGTCTTCTAAAATATTAAATATGAGGTCTTGCTTTCTTATGTACCTCACTCTTTAACATAATAATAACCATTCTGTTATGCCTGATTAGTGTATAAAGTTCTGTCTTAGTGTGAAAAAAAAACAATCATTGACAGTCACTCATCAGGTAAGCAAATGTACCAATACTTGAGTAGTTGATTTAAAAGAATGTGGAAGTAGCTTAAAATCCTCCTCAAGAGCTTTATCAATAACACATGTTTTCAGTACATAACCCTTCCTTATCAATTGGAAATTCAACAATACGCCTCAAATAAGAAGAAACATTCTCCATCTTTGGGGATCCAAAAGTAGGATCAGAAAGTTTCAGTTGTGTAAAAATTGTGTCCACGTGTGCTCATGTGCTCTGCAATGTAAACACTACGGGCTTATTTTTCCTTTGGGATTTCATCAAGTTCACTGTGTCTCTTCAGACTTGGAAAACTGACGGAGGGTGAGGTAACGTGTCCGCTCTGGAAGTCGTAACATGGATTGTGAAGCTTGCACTGGAGTAACACATAGCGCCTCCTGTCTGTAGGCTGGAGTCACTGTCTCGTACTGAAGCACAGGGGGAGGGGTTATTGCTCAGAGGTCTACAGCTGATAGGACATCCTGTGTGGCCGTCACAGTTTGCCCTGTTTGAGCCTCTCGATGTGGTGACACAGTTTGAGAGCAGGCCCCAGCTTCAGCCCCATGTACTTCATGATCATGTCACTCCTCAGCAGCATCAGAGCCCTGCCGTCGATCTCCTGTGGAACAAGAAGAGTTACAAAGACGATAGACTGTCATTTTCAATGCAATATAATAATACTTTTTATGTTATTATGTCATCTATAGGCTCAAAATCAGTCTAAAACTAATCAGGAAGGGTCAACCTTTAGCTATATTAGTATATACACTAACAAAAATGATCAATATCAATTTCATATTGATTCTAGGCATATTTCTTGGGGGGGTCGTCCTTTGCATTTGACATTGGCTACATATACATGCACACCAACATCTGATTATCAGATTTTTGGACTTTTAAGATTATTATTAAAAGAAATGCAAGCTGCACAATCAGATGTGAGTGATCAGAGGCATCATGATCAGACAGAAATCAGATTTTGCTGTTTACATGTCATTTTAATAATATAATAAGTCATGCATATAACTGCTATCATTTTTGTAGAACCAAAAAGCAAAATAGTACTTTGTTCAGTGTTGTGCTGTTGTTGGGTCATTCAGACCTATCTATATAAACAATATCAAGTTCAGGAGTGAAAACAGACATAACACTTACATGTTTTCTGAAAAGTTCGGCATGTGGAGCTAAAGCTGTGGGGTCGGCGTCCCTCACAAACTGCATAACCTCTTCGATGGTCCAGGATGAGGGGTTTTTACTGGGTGCACCCTCCCGCTCTGACGCATCGGGCCCAGTTGTGGAACTTGCTGCTGTCAAAAAATACAACAAGTGAGATTACCATGAAGAGAAAGCATGGAATGTATTGTATAGCTGTAACCTGTAGATCTAGGTTGTAATATGAACTGAACCTTTACAAGTTCACAGTTTCCACCCTTACAATAAGTACAATACACATACAATACAATAGGTACAATACAGTACATGGAGCATATTCGATTTTTGTCCTCTGTTGGCATAATTTTATTTTATTTTTGTTGACAACAAGATAACAAAGATGAGACCTTTCTGCTGCATTCTAAAATTGTATTGTGGGTGTTGTTGTAGTACCTTCAACTCTCCTGTGGGGCAGTGTGGAGCTGTGGTCTGTGGAGTTGGAGGAGAGGCGCCTCATGGGCGTTGTGGCGCCGTGGTGGCGGTAGGGGGCGCTGGGCTGGGAGTGATAGTCTGAGGGGGTCCTGACACTGTGGGGTCGAGGGGTCATGGAGTTGGAGGCAGAGTCCATGTAGCGCTGCTCCTTCATCAGGCCGTTCTCCTCATGGGGTAGAGTCTCGGCTGACAAAACCAAATATCATTGTCTTAATCAAAAATACTGAAAGCAACCATTGTTTTCACTATAATATGCACATATGGCCATCTATAAAAAATGTCATATAGCTTGCTTGAGAATACAATGCATGATTGGTATTATATTATTCTATTATTTATTATATATCAATCTGTTATAAAAAAAAAAAAAAAAACTTTTTTAACGCCCAGTAATTACTTGGTTATTAAGAGTAAGAAAGATAATAAAAAGTGTCTGCAATAGTCAATAGTCTAATATACTGTATGTGTATGGTCCATTGAAGCTGTACCTTCGGAGGGGTGGGCTTCAGTTCGGAGGTGTTTGGGCGATAGAGGAGCAGCGTATGGAGGAGACACTCCCGACAGGCTCCTTTTGGTACCTCGGCTCAAAGAGGGTAGATCCAGAGCCTCCTCTTTTACTGGACAACAAATAACAGAAAACTGAATATTATATAAATCTATCACAAGAGAGTTGGAAAGGCTGCATCATTAAACCTATTTAAAAAACTTTAGCAACCCCAACTTTAACAACCCCAGAAAGGAAAAAAAGAATACATAAATATTCCAAAGTACAGACACAAAGTTTGATAGCAATTAATCGCTTTAAGAACCTAGGTGATCAATCCACTTTTAATAGACTTGTTCTTTAAATTCACTTCAGTAGTCTGTAGTAAACCCTTAAGTGTTGAGTGCAGAGCCGTACCTGACTTGGTCCTGTCATAGGAGGAGTAGTGGCTGAAGGGCTGGCTGCTGAACAGACTGTCACACTGCAGGTGCCGGCACATGGTCTCCAGGAAGCGCAGGACGAAGGACGCGCTGGAGGCAGAGGGCAGTTTGACCACTCGTACCCCCCCATCTGTACGCACTGCAAGGACAACTGGGTTTAACTCAAAGAAACATTCCCAGGGAAATTAGTAGATTTTTTTGGAACAGAACAAAATAAGATAGGATACTGTACATTGCAATAATCATAATAATTGTAAGGGCAACCAACAGCTGTGTGCAGATTTAACTATGAATCATTCATAAGAAAAGAAAATAAGGTGTGACATCAATTTATTATAAATCATAACATCTCAGCATGTCTTTTGGATCTAATTGTGCAAACCTGGGCAATTTGCAAACCACAGGCCTTTTATGTAACATGTGGGAATTTCCCACATTTTCCTGGGGAATACCCATCATGTCTCTGTGCGAGTCTCAGCATGCGTACCTCGGACCACCTCCCCTCCTCCAGAGTGGGTGTGCAGAGCGCTGAGCAGGACCTTTGGCTGGTATGCACAGTCAATGCAGGACTGGACCACCTGCTGCAGGACAGAGTTGACGGGGCCTGGGCCGAAGTGGTCTGGGAGGCGCTGCATCTGCTTCCTGTCCAGGTGTGGTCCACAGTTCCCATGTTTGTTCACATACACACACACTGCAGACAGAGGACAGGTGACAGGATCAGTTTAACAGACTGGCACTGGGCGATTTGAGGTCAAATAATGTCACAAGATAAGTTGTAAAAATCAAGGCTAAAGTTTTAGCACTTTCTGAACCCTGACATTTGCCTGAATTAACAATGTTTTACTGGAAATTAATCATCACTAAACAGACAATTTCTATTATGTATATATATATATATATATATATATATATATATATATATATATATATATATATTAGTATTATCTATTATCTACTATTATCTTAATAATGAAACAGTCTTCACTTAAAACACAGCCTCTTTGATAATATATTTTTTACCAATGATACATGAAACCTAATAAAATACTAAAAATAATATAATTCATTATAATTTAATATAATATTTGCATACTGTTTCTTGACACATTTTTACGAGGGTTCAGTAGTCACCTGTTGACACCACAGAGTTGAGGCTGGCGGGACTCTCCTGTGGGACTGGGATACTGGGCAGCTCAAGAGCTCTGTGGAAGATCTTGGGCTTCCTCTGGACAACACACAGTTTACAGATGCTGTGTTAGTTCACATCATTTGTGAAATAATTTGCAATCCATGTGTTAGTACCTATTTACACAGGTTTATGTGGTTCAATCAGTCCTGGTTCAGTTCTAGTACCGTCTCGGTTATGTTCATTAAAATATCTTCAATAATCCCTATTTATTACCTTTGTAAGATCATTTTGTTGATCTTTTTTTTTCAAATCTCAAATACCATAGCATATTCCCTGTTGTGTATCCCAATTCCACAATTCCCATCAGTACCTTACTTCCAGGTTTGGGCCCTCGTTTCTTATGAAGTCTTGGTTCTATTACTCGTGTGGTCTCTGGTACCGCTGCTCCATTCTGATTAGCTGCTGCTGCTTCGGCTACAGCCTTGAGCAGGGCAATGGTCTCACTCTTCGGACGCCGGCCCCGGACCCCTTTCCTCACAGGTAACTGGGGCAGGGGTGTGGGCAGTCTGTAGGGGGGCTGCAGGGAGCGTCTGCTGGGCTTGGAGGGCGAGGAGGAGCTGAAGATGGGCAGGCTTTTGGGAAGAGTTACTGGAACAGAGAAATGAGATGAGATTTAAGCTGCTCATTGTCCTATTCAATAAAGTGTCCTTCTGTTAAAC